TAAATGCTTCATGGCCACCTCATCATTGCGGCCGCCAATCTGCATAGCCACTCGGTAATCTTCGAGCCACGTGTCGGGCTTGGATTCACCGGTGAACTTGCTGACTCCAGTCGCCAGCCTGAAGTTGGGAGGGATCACCACTGCCCTGATGGCTCGACTGAAACATTCAGGCCCCGAAGCATGCGCTCTGCTGCCGGTGGGCGTATCTCTGTTGTGGCCCTCTCGATGAGCCCTGTTCCTGTCCACCAAACCTTGAACGAGGATGGATCTCGCGTCAAAGCCTGGGTCCCTGGGGTCGACTGGGATCCTCTGCCCAACATTATGGGGGCGCCTGTCATCTCGATGTCGGGGCGCATACGATCCACTCCTCGGGGGAGGGGATGGCACTCGACGTCTACCATCACGGTCGGGTCGGTGATCATACTGTTCATTCCTCCTGTACTGATCGTGCCGGTCTCCACGTCCCTCACGCCTCGGGGGCGATCTCGGGCTGTGAGCCGACTGGACTGTTTCTGTTGCAACGGATCGACTGTGGATCCTGTCCCGCGACTAAGAGATGGCGGAATTCTGATTTCCCGCCGCTCGGAGCAATGCTCTGATCTGCAACAATCCTCTGCCAGCCTCTGACTGGGAGGGCTGGATTGACTCTGCTATGCAGGCCGCGGCAGCCAAATTCTGAACTGGAGTTCGGTATACCTGCGGCGGTGGGAAGAGCTGACGTCGACTGGACTCGGGAGCCCGCTGACGTGCTCGCTCGTCGAGTGCTCGCTGTAGATTCTCCAGTCGAGTGCGCTCGGCCAGATTAGCCAAGCGCGCGTCCTCCAAGGCCCGGGCCTCGGGGGTTTCTCCAACAATAGGAGTGTGGAGCGCGTCCATGTTCCGGCGGCGAAGCTCTTCTCGCTGTAATGACGTAAGAGGTTCGGGGAGGTATTCGTCGTGGGGATGCGACAGATCGCCTCTATCCGCACCACTATCAACGCGATGGAACCCAGGAGGACTATGTGTCCTCTCGACCGCCAGAACCTCCGCCAAAGGGTCGCTGCTATCGCACTCGGATGCGGTCTCCGCGGAACCAGTCGACAGATCGAACAGGCCGTAGAGGGATTCGTCGGGCTCGATTGCCGCGACTTGTGGGGCCGCCGACTGGCGGGCCACGGCGTGCCTCACCCACCGCTGGAGTCTCGACCGACCTGAGCGCTTGCGCTGGTGGGAGACGAGGCGGGGAGGCGACACGGGGGCCGACCGATATTGGGTCGACGGCTGCCGCAGGAGGACGCCACGAACGCACGCGCGGAAGTGCGTCGCACCGCGGACGGGGAGCGCGTCGATGTCGAGCGACGCCTCCTGGAGCCAGGCGGAGTCGTCGGCGATGAAGGAGAGCGCGCCGAGACGGATCTCGCGGCCCTCTGCCAAAACTCCGCAGGAAACCATGATCAAATGGATCAGAAAAATCGCAACTTCTCCAATTAGGCGCTAAGACTAATGCCCCAAGGTGGGCGCCAACTGTCGTGGTTCTATGTCTGACAGTGAGGTAGGGGTGTGAATGAAGAGGCTAGACCTTAGCTATTGGGAAGTTGTAGGCACGCAAAGTTTACGAGTTCAGGCCCTTCTCGGAGGAAGTAACAACCCTACGTCTCGGTGCCCGGAGGCGGTCGATTGGATTATGCGTGTGGAGATGACAAAGGTGCGAACCCCGCATACTGAGGAGGGGGTGGCTTATATAGAGTTCGCCGGCCCCTTCCTGCCCTCAGTAATGCAGGGTTTAAGGTACATTTAAGGTGGGGCGTTACTGATAACGTCCCTAATAAAGTGTCATAATAACCATAAAGACTGCTTAATAGCCGACCGTTTGCCTGCGGAGTGGCTTCAGGTCTTTTGGCCAGTCGAGTGGTTGACTTTATGGTCGAATGATAGCTTCTTGGCCGAGTGTCTTCAACCCGTCGAGTGGGATACCTTGAAGTCGATTGAAAGGTGACTTCTTCTAGGGATGTCCTACGGTAGGGCTCTTTAGGACGGGTCCGTGCCCCTACCGTAGGTACATGGCTTCAACACTACATGCCTATCCTATTACATGACCGCCATCCAAACCAGTTGAAAATACCCCGAGCTACCATCTCCCATCGGGTAGACGCAGTAGCCAAACGCCCCCTGGCCTCCGTCGGAGTGAGTAACGACCACATACGGATCAATGTTGTGGCCCTGAAGATAACCTGCAAAAAGTGAAAGTTCGTTTTTCTGTTAAAAACCAAATCATTTCTGCAGTTCCATACTGCTCATAACAAGGCACACACTCCGACACGAATGTGTCTTGCTACATCCAAGTTAACCCCATCAAGCCATGTTCCAAATAACATATTGATAGAGGTAGGTGGAGTAATATTAAAAGCAATATGAATCGAACGCCAAAAAATCTTAGCCAGCGGACAATCTAGAAAGAGGTGCCTTATAGTTTCGTTACAATCACAAAAGCTACACCTAGCAGAACCCATCCAATTGCGGTTTGCCAGGTTGTCTTTTGTGAAAATGACTTGTTTATGCACAAACCACATAAAAACTTTGATTCGCAAAGGTACCTTAACTTTCCAGACGTGCTTCGAGCAAGGAATGACACTAGTGTTTATGACATCCAGATACATGGATTTGACCGAGAACCTGCCGTCCTTAGTCAGTTTCCAAAACAATCTATCTGGCTGCTGAGACAGTTGGACATTCATCAACCTTCATACAAGATGAAGCCATGCCTCCCAACGATGGCCTACTAGCGTCCTCCGGAAGCTAATATTGAGAGGCGTGGACTGTAAGACAGTTGCAACATAGGCTTCTCGACGTTGAACAATGTTATACAGAGTAGGATATTGAAGTGCCAGAGGCGTCTCCCCAAGCCACGTATCCTACCAGAACCTCGTGTTAGCCCCATCACCGACTAAGATTTTTGCCCTATTAAAGAAGAGGGGCTTGACTCTCATCAACCCTTTCCAAAACGGAGAATCAGTCGGGCGCACAGTCACCTGAGCCAAAGTTTTAGCCTGAAGATACTTATTTCGCAGAATCTGAGCCCATGTGGCCTCTGTCTCGGACGAGAGTTTAAATAGCCACTTGCTAAGGAGACATCTATTCTTGATCTCTAGATTTCCAATGCCTAGACCGCCTTGGTCCTTCGGCTACAGATGATATCCCATTTTGCAAGCCTATACTTTCTTTTCAACTCATCATTCTGCCAAAAGAAACGAGATCGATAAAAGTCTAACCTCTTCCTGACCCCCACCGGGACCTCAAAAAAGGATAAAAGAAACATGGGCATACTGGTTAAGACCGAATTAATCGGAATTAATCGACCTCCATATGACATGAGCTTCCCTTTCCAACAGCTCAGTTTCTTTTCAAAACGATCCTCGATGCACTTCCACTCCTTGTTCGCCAGCTTATGATGGTGAATGGGTACACCTAGGTATGTAAACGGTAGCGAACCCAACTCACATCCGAACAATTGCTTATACGCCTCCTGGTCCTCATTAGCTCTTCCAAAGCAAAACAGTTCGCTCTTATGGAAGTTAATCTTGAGTCCAGACAATTGTTCAAATAAACACAACACAAGCTTCATGTTCCTTGCTTTCGCCAAGTCATGCTCCATAAAGATGATAGTATCATCGGCATACTGCAGAATGGATATACCACCATCAACTAGGTGCGGAACCAAGCCCGAAACCTGCCCCGCATCCTTAGCCCGACCTATTAAAATGGATAACATATCAACCACTATGTTAAATAGAATCGGTGACATGGGATCTCCTTGCCTTAGTCCTTTGTGTGTCTGGAAATAGTGACCTATATCATCATTCACTTTAATCCCTACACTCCCTTTTTGCGTAAAGGACTCAATCTGTTCTCGCCAGGCCTTGTCAAATCCTTTCATACGCAACGCCTGTTGAAGGAAAGGCCATTTAACTTTATCGTATGCTTTTTCAAAATCCACTTTAAAAACCACACCATCTAGATTTTTTGAGTGAATCTCATGGAGCGTTTCATGCAAGACGACCACCCCTTCAAGGATATTTCTGTCTGGCATGAAAGCGGTCTGGGACGGTTGCACAACTGAATGCGCAATCTGCGTGAGTCTGTTCGTCCCAACCTTGGTGAAAATTTTGAAACTGACATTAAGCAAATAGATAGGCCTGAACTGCTCAATGCGAATAGCCTCTGTCTTCTTAGGAAGAAGAGTTATCGTTCCAAAATTGAGCTTGAACAAATGAAGCTGACCATTGAACAAATCATGAAACATCGGCAACAGGTCACTCTTAATAAAATGCCAGCACTTTTTGTAGAACTCCGCCGGAAACCCATCTGGTCCTGGCGCTTTATTGTTCTTCATTTGTGAAATGGCCTCAAACACCTCTTTCTCCGTAAAAGGAGCAGTCAAAATCTCATTCTCTTCCGTCTCAAGTTGGGGAACATCCTCAACTCTTGACTCATCCAGGGACACAAAACTCTCTTCCGGAGATCCAAACAACTGCTTATAATAATGCTATGCTTGCAAATTACAGAAAGCTTCAGATATGCAGGGAATTATTCAAATCCTAATCTTGAGATATCATAAGCTAGGTCTATTATACCTCAAAAGGTACTTAATATGAGAATCAAAGAGCACAACATGCACAGAGAAGGACAGGAAAAAAACAAGAGTTTGTCCAACACTTACAGAGGGGATCACAAATCGCTAAATGGGGAAGGTGTTCTCATGATCGATAATATAATGTCTTTGACCAACATTCATACTTCCAAGTTAAAATCCACTCCTGCAATATCAACTTACAGGCCCATAATGAAATACCGCGCGAATTTCAAAAGCAAAAACAATAAGAGTCTTGTGGCATACAGGAATGTGGAAGTATCCTGGTTTTATTGAAGTACAAATGTCACAAATTAAACCGATAATCTCAACAAACAGAGGGGAAAGATGGATGATCAGTAAGTGCTCCAAGAGAATGCCACATTTCAGTTGGTGATAACATGATCCACAATTATCTTTGGCTTCTCGATGGCCTTCAAATCTTCTACAATGAAGTTGGTTATTTCATCTGCTGCGCTATTGACTCTGAGGTGCACCTCCTGGAGACTTTCCAGGGTGTCGATGCCGAACAGGCCCTCAAAGGCTTCAAACCGCATCTCGATCCTTTCGAGCGCTTGCATTGCATCTTCTGGGAAGCTCAGCTTTGGCACTAGAGGTGCGAAGAAGCGAAGCAGCTTAAGACTCTTGAATCCTCCACTTGGGACGAAGATCTCGCCGCCGGACTCCGATTTGTTCTTCTCAAGGATATCCTCTATGGCCTCATCCTGCTTCGCTGCACTCAGCGAAAAGGTGAGGGAAAACAACAAAGGCAGGTCACTGAGGAGCTCAAAAGTATCCATCTGGAGAACAGTTACAGAGAGGGTCAATTTGTGGAGGTTACTGAGTTTATTAATCCACTTTGGAAGACTATTCAAATTGCCAGAGAGCTCAAGGGCGCTGAGGTATCTTGGAGGTGCGGACATGGTGTCCAGTGAGTTGATAAAATCAGAACCCTCATCATTGAGAGCCAGAGTCTGCAGACCACAGCTGCCAAGATACTCGATTGCAGAGCGTAGTTCTTTGAAGATTTTACTATCCTTCGATATTATGAGCTTGTAAATGGCAAGCTTCCTAATCCCCGTCAACTGATGGAGGCCTTCTACACCTGTTGATTGCTCATCAATCTCGATCCCCGACAGTATACGAAGTGCTTTCATTGTCTCCTTATTAATCTCTTGAGGCAACTTCAACCCCCTTCTTGGGTTCTTATTCCCACCAAATATGTTGATTATTCTTTTGAGCTGCCCTGCAGATTTTGGCAGCTCACCAACATCAGTCTCCCTCAGGTCAAGAGTTTCTAAGTACTCGAGTTTCTCAATCTTAGAGGGTACTTTGGAAATATCTGTTCCACGAAGGCTCAAATACTTCAGTACAAGCATTCTACACATGTCCTTTAGATGTTTCTCTTTCAAACCCTTGCAACCCTCAAGATCCAGCACTTGTAAAATTCCATTATTGAAAGAGTGAAAATGAAGTTGGTCCAGCCTCCGGAACATGGTCAGTGATCGCACTTGCGACAGATTCATGTGCTTTGTTGAACTTCCATGTTCGGAACCACTGCTTTGGACGGAGAGTCGACGGACTTTATTGGTCGACATTGGTATCAGCCAGTGGCCACCAACCACAGTAATAAAATTCTCTTCGCTCGACTTGGACACTATATATTCAAGAACCATATCATGCACTTGAAAGCTTTTTACCTTCCCATTGCTACTGTGCTCAACCGGACGTATTATCTTCCTTTTTATCAGCTGATTAAAGTATGTTTCTGCAACTTCCTCATCCGACAAGCCATGCTTTTCACTAACGAAGCCTTCGGCTACCAACCTCCGGATCAAACGCTTCCTGCTGATTTTTGAACCCTTAGGAAATATACTCAGGTATAATGAACAGGTCCTGAGATCTGCAGGCAAATCATTGTAGCAATACTCAAGTATCCTTGTAACACCATCCAGGGTGAGAGAAGGCACCGACTCTGGAAATAATGAGTTGCATACTTCTTTCCATTTTTTGATGGATTTGTCAGGGTTGCTGGCAACGAGACCAGCCATGCTAACTATGGCCAAAGGCAGACCCATGCAATTTTTCCATATCTCAGGAGGGACTTGGTCCAGTTCTTTCTTGCTATCTTTGCTGCTTCTGGATTCAGAAAGACTTCGATTAAATAAAATTTTAGACTGCTCATCATCTAGAAAATCGACTGGATGGAGTAAATCAATTCCATCTATTTGGGAGCACGTAGCACCAACAGCTTGAAATCTTGTAGTCACTATTACTCTGCTGCCTTCTTTATTGTCATGTGGCAAGCAATTTCTGATACTCTCCCAAGTTTGTGCAGACCATATGTCGTCAATCAAGAGGAGATACCTATCAAGAACAAGGAAATAAAATGCATCAAGAAAAGAAATGCACATGTCCCCGAGTTTATCTTTTGTGAGAGAGATACTATGTGTTAGGTCGCTTCTCTTATATATGTGCAGTTATCGAGGAAAGTGACTCCTTAGGCTACAATTGGCTGTCGGAAAGGTGTGTGGGGTATCCTCTGTTCATGCAAGGACTGTGCAGGTGACAGACTGTTCGTGAATTAGCAGACTGTCCTCACTGCATATTGTTTGTTATGGCTAGTTTGTATGGTTAGTGACTTGCTGCATGCTCTACCTCCATTGCTTTAGGTTTCGGTCATTAATGAAAAACTTATTACAGATACTGAAAAACCTCTTGAGTTTAGCAAATCGAGAATACAGTAGATTTGATATTGCTTTCTCAGTCTATGGCTCATCCTAGCCTTGTATTAGATTTGTATTTGTTCGGCTTAAAAGAAATATGTGCCCGATAGATCTCCCCTTATAGGTTGGAGATTTTCAAAGGGTATTAATTAAAAGAAACACTTGTTTAATTTTAGGTTTCCGACGTCACTGTCTTTTATGCCAAGCTTGATGCTCTTGCTCTTGCATAGGTGGTGGGCGGATCAATTTGTGTAAATGGCTGCTTCCTATGTCTCCCAATCTTTTCAACTGAAATTTTGGCCGCCATTGTCTCAACAGTAACGGTATGTTAGCAACGTGTCAACTGCCAAGGTACTCACTAGTTCGATTAGTGATAAACTCTATTATCATGAAATGTCAGAAATACTTGGCAGCCTAGGATGACAAATATCTCACTAGGCACTGGTTAGGTTAGAACTTAGAGCTATTTCCGCCAAGGCAAATCATGAAATCACACAACTGACTAAACATGTCAAAATAATTAGTGATGGGTCAAACTATTGTGACAAGGATAATTAAATTTAATCTGAATGGAATAGTTAATTTACTTGCCACAAAACAATAGTCAATTGGGAAAGAAGCAAAGAAACAATTTATAAATACCTCTTTTTGGCCAGATGATCTTGTAATTCTTTCACGAGTTTACCATGGTTAATTGCTTCAGTCTTGATCTGTTTTACAGCAGAGCTGCCAGTGCTGTGTTGCTTCTCCTGATCACTCTCCTGCGGCTTGACTTGTTTTAGAATCATCAAGAGGACTGCATCTTCATCATAGTTCTGAGACACGGTGACTGATGCCCGATAATCAAATTTATCCCTGACGTTTTGGTACAAAGCCATTGCAATAGTGGTCTTTCCCACGCCGCCGAATCCGACTATGGAAAGAACAGCTCGCTCCTCATAAGAACTTTTATCAGATTTGGCTAGCCAATCCTCAAGCTTCTTCATGTCATCCGTCATCCCCACTGGCTTCTTCATACCAATAAGCTGACGCTCTGTGAGCTGATGCTCAGCAACTTCGTATGTTCCAGCAGTAACTCCAGAGCCATTCTTACGGTTCCTTGGGTTGTGCACCCCATATCTTCTACGTCGCTCACCAATCTGTTGCGCTCGCACCTTGAGGTCAGCAATCTTTGACGCAATGTCACGGCGAGGCCACCACATCCGGAGTTCATAGAATCTTGTCCTGATGAATAAGCATTTAACATCACTGCTGGGATCGCGGGGTATGCGGTGGGCAAAGTCATCGATACAATCTTCAATGTCATAGCCCATGTCACGGATCTGCTTCATCCAGTCCTTCATCCGGTTGTCATGGTCTTCCAGGGCAGTGCTGAGGTCACGGAGGAAGGCCTGCATGCTTGTAAGCTCATCGTTGATGTACTGAACATCACGGCGGACTCCGCGGACCAGAGCATACTCCTGGGCTAGAAGGCCCCCCAGCTTGCCCAGGAGAGACCTCATGGTAGCATTCGAGGCACCTACCACCAACTCCATCTTCTTGCTCTTTATTTGTGTTCTTCAGTATCCAAATCTCTTTTTACAGAACCTTAGCAACTGAAGGGAAGGAGACCTTTGTTGTATGGAAGTGGAACTAGATGCTGGTCAGATCAATGGAAGGCACCAACAACAGTCTGCCTTCATCAATCAGTTGCTTGCCTACAGGGTTGAGCTTGAATTAGGGTCACCATATATCAATACACAGTTGTATCATCGAGTACAATAAGCAGGGCGTGGCAGGAGCGGTTAGCTATCTCAAAACCAATCAACAATAAGCAGTTCATTAATATATGGGATCGGGATTTAAATAGGCCCATACTACTCATACTAGTAGGTAATTTTTGTCTTCAATCCATAATATATGCTACTAACAGAATTTTACATTTTGTCTAAAAGAATTGTGAATCTAAAAAATATAAATGTTTGCCTGTATATTCAAGTATGAAAACACCAGTTTTTAAATTCCAAACTGTAAACTGAATTAATAAGAAAAGCAAAGGCTTCACATTGCCCCCGCTATCTTTGCTTACTTCTGGTCTCACAGTTATCAGATCTCAAATCCCTAGTTTTTTCTTCCTAAAATGGAACTGAAAACGCCCAAACAGATTGAATGAAGTGAAAAAATGGCTACCTGGACCTCGGATTCCACCATATATAGGTGAGAAGCAGAACAACGCCAACGCATCAGTGGCAGAGAGCAGCCTACCTTCATGAATCAATTGCTTGGCTACAAGTACAGTAAGCACAAGATTAGTACTAATCTAATGATAATGTCATGGGATTTTAATTGGTTAAAACTGCTGACTTCGGCAGGTAAATTGTGTCTAACCCAAAATCTATGCTACTAGCACAATTTAATAGTTTGTATAGAAAAACAATATTTTACCTGGTAATTCCAAAACTAAAACAGAACGAATAAGAGCAAAGGCTTCACATTCCCCCACTAAGTCTGCTTACTTTCTGGTATCAAATTTACTACTGTAGATCTCAAACCCCAGATGCTACCTCCTTTTCCTATAACGAAACTGGAAAAACAAAAGCAAATTGAATTGAAATGAAATCGCTGGCTTTGCTTACTTCTGGTCTTACAGCTGCTACCTTTTCAGATCCCTAATTTCCCTAAACAGGTTGAAGTGAAGATGGTTATCTGGCCGAGAATCGCAGCAGCGCCTACGCCATGCGATGGGGAACTATCAGATCTACCTGTCAGAGGGAGAAAACAAGGGAGTAAAAGGAGCAGCGGTGAGTGAAGAAGAGGAGAGGCACCTGTGGAGTGTGGAGTAGTGTTGAACTTGGGACGGAGCCGATTGGGGAATTTCCACGGAAGCGTGCAACGGGAGTCGCCGGAGCAGTGAGTTTTTTTCTTTTTTCTTTTTTAGGGTTGCGAGCAGTGATAAATTTAGCCCCGAGCAGATCTTATAAAAAAAACCTGGCCCGTGAAAAATATATGGGCGGCCCATAAAACTCCGGCTCCGCTGCTATATCTATCGGACCCGACTCGTTTTAGGGTTCCTATCTGCTAAATCACGTACCTTCCTCCGCTGCAATTCCTCTCTCTCGCGCCAAATCCACCCACTCCGGCAGCTGTTTTCCACGCGCAAAACCCCTTTTCGACTGCCTCAATGTCGAGTGGAGGTGGCGGGCATGGTGGCCGAGGGGGCCATGGCGGCTCACCGCCACACAAGCGAGCCCGCCACGAGGACGAGGGCGGGAGTTCCATCCCCCCTGTTGTGGAACGTAGTAATTTCAAAAAAAAAAATCTACGCACACGCAAGATCATGATGATGCATAGCAATGAGAGGGGAGAGTGTGTCCACGTACCCTCGTAGACCGAAAGCGGAAGCGTTAGCACAACGCGGTTGATGTAGTCGTACGTCTTCATGATCCGACCGATCAAGTACCAAACGCACGGCACTTCCGAGTTCAGCACACGTTCAGTTCGATGACGTCCCACGAACTCCGATCCAGCAGAGCTTCGAGGGAGAGTTTCGTCAGCACGACGGCGTGATGACGGTGATGATGATGCTACCGACGCAGGGCTTCGCCTAAGCACCGCTACGATATGACCGAGGTGGAATATGGTGGAGGGGAGCACCGCACACGGCTGTAGATCAACAGATTAACTTGTGTGTCTAGAGGTGCCCCCTGCCCCCGTATATAAAAGATGGAGGAGAGGAGGCCGGCCAGCCCCTAGGGCGCGCCAGAAGTGTGGAGTCCTACTAGGACTCCCCAGTCCTAGTAGGATTCCTCCTCCCACATGGAATAGGAAAAAAGGAAGGGAAAGGAGAAGGAAGGAAGGGGGCGCCCCCCTCCCTGGTCCAATTCGGACCAGACCATGGGGAGGGGTGCGGCCCAATACGAATTCCCGTAACTCTCCGGTACTCTGAAAAATACCCGAATCACTCGGAACCTTTCCGATGTCCGAATATAGTCGTCCAATATATCGATCTTTTGGTCTCGACCATTTCGAGACTCCTCGTCATGTCCCCGATCTCATCCGGGACTCCGAACTACCTTCGGTACGTCAAATCACATAACTCATAATACAAATCGTCATCGAACGTTAAGCGTGCGGACCCTATGGGTTCGAGAACTATGTAGACATGACCGAGACACATCTCCGGTCAATAACCAATAGCGGAACCTGGATGCTCATATTGGCTCCTACATATTCTATGAAGATCTTTATCGGTCAAACCGCATAACAACATACGTTGTTCCATTTGTCATCGGTATGTTACTTGCTCGGGATTCGATCGTGGTATCTCAATACTGATGACCCACAAGTATAGGGGATCTATCGTAGTCCTTTTGATAAGTATGAGTGTCGAACCCAACAAGGAGCAGAAGGAAATGATAATCGGTTTTTAGCAAGGTATTCTCTGCAAGTACTGAAATAAGTGGTAACAGATAGTTTTGTGATAGGATAATTTGTAATGAGCAACTAGTAACAAAAGTAAAAAAAGTGCAGCAAGGTGGCCCAATCCTTTTTGTAGCAAAGGACAAGCCTGGACAAACTCTTATATAAGGAAAAGTGCTCCCAAGGACACATGGGAATATCGTGAAGCTAGTTTTCATCACGTTCATATGATTCGCGTTCGGTACTTTGATAATTTGATATGTGGGTGGACCGGTGCTTGGGTGCTGTTCTTACTTGAACAAGCACCCCACTTATGATTAACCTCTATTGCAAGCATCCGAAACTACAACAAAAGTATTAAGGTAAACCTAACCATAGCATGAAACATATGGATCCAAATCAGCCCCTTACGAAGCAACGCATAAACTAGGGTTTAAGCTTCTGTCACTCTAGCAACCCATCATCTACTTCTTACTTCCCAATGCCTTCCTCTAGGCCCAAATAATGGTGAAGTGTTATGTAGTCGACGTTCACATAACACCACTAGAGGCTAGACAACATACATCTCATAAAAATATCGAACGAATACCAAATTCACATGACTACTAATAGCAAGACTTCTCCCGTGTCCTCAGGAACAAACATAACTACTCACAAAGCATATTCGTGTTCATAATCAGAGGGGTATTAATATGCATAAAGGATCTGAACATATGATCTTCCACCAAATAAACCAACTAGCATCAACTACAAGGAGTAATCAACACTACTAGCAACCTACTAGTACCAATCCCGGACTTGGAGACAAGAATTGGATACAAGAGATGAACTAGGGTTTTGAGATGAGATGGTGCTGGTGAAGATGTTGATGGAGATTTCCCTCTCCCGATGAGAGGAGCATTGGTGATGACGATGGCGGTGATTTCCCCCTCCCGGAGGGAAGTGTCCCCGGCAGAATAGCTCCGCCGGAGCCCTAGATTGGTTCCACCAAGGTTCTGCCTCGTGGCGGCGGAGTTTCGTCCCGAAAGGTTGCTTATGATTTTTTTCCTCATCGAAAGACCTCATATAGCAGAAGATGGGCATCGGAGAGCCAACAGGGGGCTCACAAGGTAGGGGGGCGCGCCCTGGGGGGTAGGGCACGCCCCCACCCTTGTGGATAGGTGGGCCCCCCTCTGGTGAACTTCTTCTGCTGGATAATTTTTATTATTTTCAAAAATGACTTTCGTGGAGTTGCAGGACTTTTGGAGCTGTGCAGAATAGGTCTCTAATATTTGCTCCTTTTCCAGCCCAGAATTCCAGCTGCCGGCATTCTCCCTCCTTATGTAAACCTTGTAAAATAAGAGAGAATAGCCATAAGTATTGTGACATAAAACGTAATAATAGCCCATAATGCAATAAATATCAATATAAAAGCATGATGCAAAATGGACGTATCAACTCCCCCAAGCTTAGACCCCGCTTGTCCTCAAGCGGAAGCCGATAACGATAAATATGTCCACATGTTTAGAGGTAGAGGTGTTGATAAAATAAAATACGGACATGAGGGCATCATGATTATTCTCATAACAACAACATATATAGATATTGTCATATGATTTCTTATGCTCAAGTAATAATCTGTTCACAATGCAGAGGTATGAATCAGAAACTTTATTGAGAACCAACAAACTATAATCTCAGTCATTGAAGCAATTGCAATTTATCATAACATCAGAAAGAGTTTATGTCAGAGCTTTCTAGCAAGTCCACATACTCAACTATCATTTAGTCTTTCATAATCGCTAACACTCACGCAATACTTGTGGTTACGGAGTTTTAGCCGGACACCGAGAAAGATAGGGGCTTATTGTTTTGCCTCCCAACCTTTTACCTCAAGGGTAATGTCAACAATAATAACTCATGCTCCCCTACATCCAATTAGATATATCTATCAGGATCTTTCCAACACCCTATGCTTGCCAAAGGATAAAATAAAAAGGAAAGGTGAAGATCACCATGACTCTTGCATAAGGTAGAAGATAATAGTAACAGATAGGCCCTTCGCAGAGGGAAGCAGAGGTTGCCATGCGCTTTTATGGTTGGATGCACAAAATCTTAATGCGAAAGAACATCACTTTATATTGGCCCTTGTGATATG